AATTTTTATATATTCACAATAATACTTTCAATTTTTTTTTAAATATTTCATTAATTTATTATTTTTATATTATTTTTTTATATATTATTCCATTTCTTGAATTTTATTATTATTTCTAATTATAAATATTCATCTTAATAAATAAAAATTTTGTGATATAATTAGAAACAAAATTTTGAAAACATTTACATATAACATAAATAGAAGTCTACTATTGAAAACAAAATGATTTTCTTAAAATAGGACCAAATCATTTAAATTTTTTCGAGAAGTTAGAAAAATTAATTTATTTATATATATTGTATAAAAATATTTTTAAGAAAATTGTAATTGATCGGAATTACGAAGAAAATAATAAATGTTGCTTTTTATTACTTTCTTATCTAAAATAAAAATTAAAAAGATAAGTTTGAACTGAGATATATATCTCACTTATATGTTGAAATTTTCATCGAGATCAGTTAGTATTGCTATCAACTATAAATAATTAAAAATAATAAAAATCACAAAACTTTCATAATAAATTTTTTTCTTTTTAAAGATTTTTATATTTTTAGTTGTTATGTTAACTGATTTTGATGAAATTTTATAATTAATATACTAATTTTGCAAAATATATATTTTAAATTTTTATTATTATTTTTTTTGTGATTTTGACTAATTGTAATTGTAACTAACTTTTTAAAAAACAATTTTTATACGTTATGTATAAAAATAAAAAAAATTAATTTTAACTTCTAAAAAAAAAATTCAACTTAGTTCATTTTAAAAAAAAATTATTGTTTTGTTAAATATTTTCATTCGCTATTATTCATCACTGATCATTTGTAAATGTTTTAAATTATTCGAGAAATAAAATCTTTTTAAGAATTAATTGTGTAGAAAGTTCCATCGAATGTTAATCCAAATATTTTATTGACATTTTATACATAAATTATATTTATACATTTTTTATGTTTTTTTAAATAAATGAAATGAAAATTTAAATATATATGTATTATTCAACATTATAAACAATGTTTTACGAAACAAAACAGAAATTTTTTATGAAAAATAACATGTTACTGTAACGTATAAATTATAGAAAAATTTTATATATATATATAGATATGATAAATATATAAAAATTTAAAAAAATTGAAACATGCATATCATTTTTAACTATTTTTTTAAATAAGACATTTTTTTCCTATATTTATTTATATTAAATTTAATTATGCTAATATTGTAATATTATATATTATATGTTATAATATATATATTGAAAATATATTAAAAATAATATTATTAAGATGCAAATTATTATTATATAATAATGATAAAGAACAAAGATCATAGTTCATTTCTGGCACGAATCATGCTTCATTTTATTCTCAAATATGAGGCAACGTAAATAAGTATGACCATGAAATTTTAATTACAACGACATTTAATCCTATTTTAAGCGTGTTTCTTTATACTCGTTATACATCATTAGAGAAATATTCATATATTATAAGTAATAAGTAATTATAGTATTATAGTTCTATAGTAACTGAAAGGGACTGAATTTCTGTTCTGATGAATTAATTTTTATCTACACATATTACTTGTTATTACGTTACTTGGTAAGTCAAGAATCAGTTGACGTTCGATCATCGAACGGATCAGATCGTAGTTTTCTGTCACGCGACTTTCACGTGTATTACACGTTCCCATTTTTATGTTAACAAAAGTGATTATTTTTCTGGTGTTTTTATACAAATATATGTACAATTGTGTTTAAAGTATTGATATTTGATATTTTTCTAAAAAAAATTCAGTGAATAAAAAAGATTAGGACTAATAAAATTATTAGATAATTGTAATTAAAGTTAATTATCTTTGGAATACAAACACTAGCAACACGGTAAAACAGATACTATGTAAAATACGCATGCGATAATATAATTATACTATTTATATTAAAGTAAAATTAATTAAGTATAAAATTTATAGATTTAAAATAAATCCATATGTTCATTTTGACTGATTGTTGAATCAAAACAACAAAAATTATATTAATTAATTATTAAATGTTCATTTTATCAAATAACTTAATTTTATTTTTTTAGAATTGGTATTATCTACATATTATAATATATATAATTATTCTTTTTATTTTTTATTGAAGGCATCAAGTTTCAGACATCCCATAATCTATCAAAATTATGTAAAGTAAAATTTCTAAAAATAAAATTTAATTTTGAAAAAAAGAAATTATAATCTGAATAAATTATTAAAATTTGTTTCAATTTAATAGAATATTTAATTTTTACTTCTTTAATTTTTAAATTGATCGTAATGTAGTCTCTAAGAAGTATTAACTACATTATGTTATTAAGTATACATACATACATTCTTAAATTTGAATGGAATAGAACTTTTGATTGTTAAAAGACACGTTTAATCAAGATAATATGGATAAATAGCATTAATGAAATTAGTTGCTTTGTAGATATCGCTTCTTGGAATAATTTCAACATTCAGCGTACCATTGACATTCAACGTAAATTACATATTATTATTATATAAATATCTACAAATGATTAATATATGTTTTTTTTATCAATTAATGATAATATTAATATTTTTCATTGTAATATTATCAATATTTACAATGATATATGTTATTTATAATAGATATATCGATCTTAACTTTAAACTTGAACTTGTAGTGAATTATTAAAAAAGAAATTTGCTAATTTATTCAAAAATATTTTTTATGATGAAATTTATATTAACGTTCTTGTTAATGTTTCGATTTTTTTTTAATATACCTTTTAGTATATTACTTTATTACATATTTCATTATTTTACTTACGAAACTGATCGCTGATATAATAAATTGTTTTGATTAAAATTAATAATAAAAAAAAAATGCGTATCTTTAAAAATAAAATTGCAACAGATCTTTGATTCTGCAATTTAATAGGCATTCAAATAAGCATTCAATACATTTTTACAAAATCATTACGATTATGTCAATTTATACTTATAAATATTTTGACATACGTATGACAAAAATTATAGATAATAAAACAATAGCAAGAATAACAAATTAGTCATGCTACGATTAAGAAAATAAATAAATATCATGAAAATTTACAAAATCAAAATTAAACATCTTGTTTTCGTTTTAAATTCATTAAGCTTTCCGTATATTCATTTTATCGATTCCCATTCTATCGAAGCTGTTATTACCGACTAACAGGTACGCATATCGATCACGAGGTGCTGATGATTATTTGAAAATAGCACAAAATGTGGCTGAAGGATGTGAATGACGACGTCTTACCGGCTGCGATTTTCGTGAACTCGCGAAGCTGCGTCCAAAACGAGTAAGTTCCTCGTTTTTTCTCTTGTGTTAGAAAAAATTGATCATAATTCAGATCAGCTGATAAATTATCGCATATATTTCTGTCATACGAGAAATAATAACATAAAATTAATATATGATTTAAGAGTAAACGTGGAATATTATTATGTCAATATCTGTTATTTATTTTTAAAATAAATCACTCGAAAATTCAATATATTTAATATTTTTGATAATTTCTAAAGCTTCATTTCATCAATTAATTTTTTTATAACTAGAATAAATCGATTAATATTTCAGGAATCAATATCGATATCTATAAAAATCATAAACAACATTCGATATAATCGAATTTAGATCGATAATAATATTATGCGTCTTTTACTATTAAAAATATTCTATATAATGAAATTTTATTGATTTAAAGAATTGATTTGTCAGTACATATTTTTTATGTTAAAAAATGTTGAAACTAATATACATTATTTCGATCTTTTTTTATTGCATTAATAACTTATCATTATTCATTTTTATTAAGTGTGCAGTTGTTGAAATTATGAATCTGATATAAATTGATGCGATTATCGACCGGATAACATCTATCATTCTTTTCATAAATGAAACTGATGGCTATAATAAATCTTTTCCTGCCTTATTTAGTCAACATAATATATGTTATCTATTTTTATATATATTATTGATATTTTTATAAATTTTATAAACAAATATTATTTTCCTAAAATATAATATATAAATTTTTAACTTTAATTCTGAATTTTATATATACATACACTTTATATATTTGACATAAACATTTTTTTTTTTTTTAAATTATAGTTATATATAAGCAGCATATATAATTTCATCTTATTTTTCATCTTATTATGTAATAAAAAATATTTAAAGTAATTACAATATTTATAACATTTACAATAGACCGAATACGTTAAAATTGTAAAAAAAGAAGAAAGATTTAATAAAATATGCAAAATACTAAATAATAAAATAATTAATGAAGAATTTTTTTTTATTTTAAATAAAAAAATATTTGCAATAACAATAACAATTGAAATAAAATATTCTTAACCTTTAAATATATATTCTTATTTAAATTTTAAATGTATAATCTTGTTTAAAAAGACAAAATATTTTATTATATAATATATAAAAATTTTTATTGAAAAAAAAAGATATGAATGATATGGATATGAATTTAAATGATATAAGAAAAAGTAGTGATTCCGATATAATGAAGATACCACGCGATATAATAAAGATATTATTTTTTGAAGGAGAGGTTCCAGAAATATTGCTTAAAACTCGAGAAATTGCGGTAAACAGGTAATCTTAGATATAATAACAAACACAATCTTAAAAAATTCGATTTTTTAATAAAAGAATAAATTTCTTAAATATATTTTATGTGAAAAACTCTCGTTTTTCTGTTAATTGATTATTTTTATAATTGAATTATAAAAAAATTAATTAAAAATATATTTTTTATATTTTTATTTATATTTATTATATTATATTTATATTTTTAAAAATAAATATTTTTATTGATTGTTTATATTTTGTTGTAAATATAAATATAAAACTATTTGATTGTATAAAAATAGAGAAACAAATAATTAAAATTTATTATTATTTACTTCTGTTACAGAATTTTTGTGAATCGTAGTCTTCATTTAGAAAATATCAAGTTTTATGGCTTCGATATGGATTACACTTTGGCAGGTAAATAATATTTAATTGTGATAATATGAATGGTATATTAATATTTATATATAATTTTTGTATAGTTTAATAAAAAAAAATTGCAATATATTTTAGAATACAAATCACCAGAGTACGAACAATTGGGTTTCACATTGTTGAAAGATCGTCTAGTATCTTTGGGATATCCAGAAGAAATTAAAGCATTTGAATACGATCCCAGTTTTCCGGTGCGAGGATTATGGTTTGATAGTCTTTATGGAAATCTTCTTAAAGTAGATGCTTATGGGAATATCTTAGTTTGCGTTCACGGTTTCGAATTTTTGAAACAGTAAGAGTAACATTTCGAATATACATCAATTATCTTATCTAATTTTTAAAAATGAATATTTAAAATGTTTTTTTTATGTTCCAGTTCACAAGTATATGAGCTTTATCCGAATAAATTTTTACAATTAGATGAGTCCAGAGTATATGTGCTCAATACGCTATTTAATCTTCCCGAATCATATTTATTAGCATGTTTGATAGACTTTTTCACGAATTCGCGGCAATATATACCAGACAGAACAGGGGTAAAAGAGGGAGAACTTACGATGACTTTCAAAAGCATATTCCAAGATGTTCGAAACGCAGTAGATTGGATACATCTTCACGGTAATTTAAAAACAAAAACAATGGAAAATTTAGATCTATATGTGAAGAAAGACAGGAGACTACCAATGTTTCTTAATAGGATTAGAGAAAGCGGGGCAAAAATATTTCTCTTAACAAATAGCGAGTACGTTTTTACTAATAAAATTATGACTTATCTCTTCGATTTTCCACATGGTGCAAAGGTATATATTTTAATATAAAATATAAAATATAAAAAATCTATTTTAGTAGATAATAGAAATATGATAATAGAAAGATGAATTAATGTATCTTTCATTTTAAGCCTGATGAACCTCATAGAAATTGGAAAACATATTTTGATACTATAGTAGTAGATGCTAGGAAACCACTATTTTTTGGTGAAGGTACAATTTTGCGACAAGTAGATACTAAAACTGGAGCCCTAAAACTTGGCACGCACAAAGGTCCACTCCATACAGGTAAATTTAAAATTTTAATATATTAAAATTAATATTATGTTTTAACATAAGATCGTAATAAAATATGCATTTTATCTTCTATAGGAGAAGTTTATTCAGGAGGTTCATGTGATGTATTCACTGAATTAATAGGTGCAAAAGGCAAAGACGTATTATATATTGGTGATCATATTTTCGGTGATATATTAAAAAGTAAAAAAATTAGAGGATGGAGAACATTTTTAGTAGTACCTGAACTTGTACAAGAGCTTCATGTTTGGACCGATAAATGTCAATTATTTGCCGAATTACAAAATTTAGATGTTATGTTAGGCGAAATGTACAAGTAAGAAAAAAATTATTATTAAAGATTAATAATAACTTTTATGAATAATACTTTTTTTCTATAGAAATTTAGATAGTAGTACAAAAGAAAAACCAGATATTTCCAAGCTACGAACATCTATAAGAGATGTTACTCACAAAATGGATTTAGCTTATGGAATGATGGGTTCATTATTTCGTAGCGGGAGTAGACAAACCTTTTTCAGTAGTCAAGTTGTAAGGTATGCTGATCTTTATGCAGCAACTTTCTTAAACCTCATATATTATCCATTCTCGTATATGTTTCGAGCTCCTGCTATGTTGGTAAGTTAATTAAAAATATTTTCTTCTATAATTTATTAATTTTCGTATTTTTTTTTTTGATTGAATATTTGTAATTAATTTTAATATTAAGATGCCTCATGAGAGTACAGTAGCTCATGAACAGAGATTTGTTATGGAAACACCAATGATTAGTCGATCTCGAACATTCAAGCTTAATGATGAAGAAGAAGAACAAAATAATCCTACCGTATGTAAACTCCAAAAGTTTCTTTTTTAATATACATATACATATATATATATATGGAATGCAATTATAAATGTCAATGTTATTAATTATTAGAAAACTTTGTGTGTGGATTATTCCAATAATCAAATACCTCATGCAAGGCCTGAAACACCACGTAATGTGACGCATACACATGATGAAGATTGTAGTGATGAGGATAGTGATTCACAAAAAGCAAACCATGTAAGATCATGTACAAAAAATTCTAATTGTAAATGAATTATTTTTATTATCGTTTGTTTTGAGTATATTTGTTCTCTCTTTTAACAATATTATAAAAGGATTGAATACAATCCTAATACATAAATATTTGTGTTTAAAATTCAAATCATAGAATAATAACTTTCTATTATATTTCATTCCTTTATAACAAAAATTACTACATAACTTCCATTATATTGCATGAAATATTAATGAATTTACGCTTTTTTTTAATAATGTAATAATGTTTATATATACATATATATTTCAGAATGAGTATAATATTATATATGAATATATAATATTAATATATGGAAAGTAAAATTATTGTCATATAAAAATTTACAAAATGCAATATAAATTAATTTATATAATTTATAAATTTATAAATTTATAAATTTCTTTATAATTTAAATTAATAAATTAAATATATATAAAGTAGTATAAAATATATATGAAAATAATTTAAATATTCATATACAAGTTATAAATTAATATTAGAATATAATATTTAGAAATTAATCAAATAGTTATTCATTCTTTTATATCAATAACAAATTTTTGATAAAGAATAAAGATAATAATAAATTGACATATTAAACATTAACATAACATAAATAATTTTTTTTAATTATATTCTTCAAATATACAATTCTTACAGAAATTGGTATTCATAGAAATATTTACAATATAGAAAAAAAAAATTTTTAAAATTGAATTTATTAATCTTGAAGAGTTGAATTTATCAATCTTGTTATATGTTGTAAATAATAAATGTTTTTATATATAATTGAAAATAATGTAAATTCGAATATTAGGATAAACTTTTTATATCAAATTTTATTGATTTTATTACTTAGTAAGATTGATAGAAAAATAATGAATTCAAAATAATGAATTATTATTAATTTTTTCTTGTATAGTTGAATGTAAAATTATACATATTTAATATTTTTTTGTAATATTTGTTTGTTTGTAAATCGTAATAAAGATATTAGATTATTTTGAAAAAATAATAAATATTCCTTATATACAATTATATACAAATTAAAAAAATAAAATAATTTTTATAAGTTATAAATATTAAATAAATATTTTATTTTATGATTTCAATTATAAAATAAAATTTTAATTTATATTATCTGTTAATGGAATAAATATATCAACAATAATAAAAGAAATAAAAATTGTATTCAAATTGTATAATTTATTTCATTAACAATAATGTATATATGAAGATTGTTAAAAATTTTTGATTGCAAAGTAAATAATTGTATTTATTTATTATACAATATATATGTATATGTATAAATTTACGTATTATCTGGTGCTAGATTTTTTCATACTTTTAATGTAAGTAAAAATGAACAATAGCTATTTTGTGTGTAAAAATTAAAAAATATGTATATTAAATCTTGTTATCATGATGGTAAACTATGAATTATATGTATCAATTGAATAAAAATATGATAACTGTAATTGTTATATTTATTTGAAAATGAATTTAACTTTTTTTTAATATATAGAAATTCTTATATTTTTTAAACAATATAACAAAAATTAATGATTTTATAGATATTGCTAATATTATTTTAATTATTAAAATAAATTGTATTTTAGATTAGTAGATCTGCTAAATATTCTTCAAATTCTTCCTCTCTTGTTTTTTCCAAATCTTCAATTGGTTTTTCTTTCCAAATTTTAGATTCATCCTTTTCTTCAATTGATTTTTCAATGTTATTTATAGCTTCATTCTCTTCAATTTTAATTTGAACTGTAGAAGTACTAGGTGTATTATTAGATGTTCCTATATTTGTTCCTAATCTTTTTAATATTTTATGTTTTTTTGCTTCTCTTTTTTGGGATCTATAATTTAATTTCATGGAGCATTCAGGACACAATCCTTAAAATTTATATTAATAATGAATTTATATTTCATCTATATTTTTATATTTTAGATACAAGAATTTTGAATAAATTGAAATAACTTACTTAATTTGACAAGAGCGTTCTTTTTTTGACCATGCTCTATATAACCAAAATTTACTTCCCAAGATTTAAGTTGTTCCTTATTTTTACATTTTTTATTTCCACATTCAAATTGTCCTTTACCAATGATAACTTCTTTTTCTGTTCTCCATCTTAAGGCAACCTATTTAATATTGATTTTTAGAATTGAATTTAAAAACGTTTTGTTAGATCAAATCTATATTATATTAAATCTATACAATTTACCTTGTTTTGCTTATAATATGTTAAATCTGCTATACAATATTCTTTAAACAATTTATCGTAATATTTCTTTGCCAAACGAGCACCCCATGTATTTGGTTCATCTTTATCTTGATCCCATAAAAATCTATGGTTTTCTTTAATGACATCATAGTCTGTCTTGTCTCGGGACCTCGAAACACAGGCCGAAACGTCAAGAGCTGCTTGTTTTAGAGTTTACAAAGCTGTCATTTCTTTATCATTTATTTTTATATTATATATATTTTTCTAATATTTGAATATATTTTTTATTAAATTTTTACATTTTGAATCAATATAAATAAAAAGATATTAATTTATATGCGAATTATACAATATGGTTATGATTTCAATAATGATATAAAAATATATGAAATCAAATTAAAAAATTTAACATACGTGTCTCGTTCTAAAGATGATACCGAACCTCCATATAATGTAAAATAATCATTAATAAGTTTTTTATGTCTATCATAAGCTGATAAATATGAATAAGCCGGAAACATGTTTTCTTCTTATAAAACTGCTTTTATTTCAAGTTCAAGACGTAACGTTGAAATATTAATTAAAATAGATATATTTAATCAATAATTCGTTTTAAAACAAGATAAACTATATTTATCAAACAAATAGTGCTTCACTAAAAACAAATATATAAATACTTCACATTTGCTGCAAATTCTATTTTTCTTCAATATGACAATATTCTAAATTGTTTTTTATATTATACGATCTATACTATATGTGAACTACTTTTAAAAATGGCGTCGTATAAAGTAGCGCTACTATAGCAAATTGAATAATGAAAAACTTAAATTTTAATTTAACATATATATATAAATAATTTATAGGAATTTGAAAGCATATTATTATTTTTTTTCTATACTGTTTTACTTCAATTTTAATTTGTTTTATATTTATATTTCATTATTCAATATATAAATAAAACAATATTTTCATTTATATATTCATATAAATGAATTTTGAATATTTTTATAAATATAGTACATTTATTTAATACATTATCAACATTGTCTTATTATTTAATATTAATTATTTAAAAGTAGTATTGAAACTATTTTTCATTATATTCACATTCTTTCAAGCATAATATTAAGTCTTAAAAAAAATAAAGAGGTATTGTTAAAGAAAATATTTTTAAATTAATCATATTTAAAATTATCAATATGAATAATATATATCATATATTATACAATAATAATATATCTTTTTCTATGAAAAAGATAAGATTATTTAGTAATTTTGTAAAAATAGTAGAAGTTGGACCTCGAGATGGATTACAAAATGAAAAAAATATTGTTCCAACTGAAATTAAAGTTGAATTTATTAATAAACTATCAGAAAGTGGATTAAAGAATATAGAAGTTACTAGTTTTGTGTCTCCAAAATGGATTCCACAAATGGCAGATAATGCACAAGTATTCCAAAAAATTAACAAGAAAATGGATATTTCTTATCCAGTATTGATACCAAATATAAAAGGCTTAAAAAATGCTTTAAAAGTAGGTGTAAAAGAAATAGCTATTTTTGGAGCTGCATCTGAAACTTTTTCAAGGAAGAATACCAACTGCTCTATTAATGATAATATGAAAAATGCTAAAATAATTATTGAAGATGCATTAAAACATGATATTAAAGTCAGAGGTTATATATCATGTATTATTGATTGTCCTTATGAAGGCAAAATTAAACCAATAATTGTAGCCAATTTAACTGCATTCATGTTAGAATGTGGATGCTGTGAAATTTCTTTGGGAGATACTATTGGAGTAGGATCACCTAATAAAATAAAAATTTATTATATGAATTAAAGCATATATCAAGTGATATGAATAAATTTGCAATGCATTGTCATGATACATATGGGCAAGCTTTAGTTAATATTTATGCTAGCCTTGAATGTGGTATAAGAACTTTTGATTCATCTGTTGCTGGTCTAGGAGGTTGTCCATATGCATTTGGAGCTTCTGGTAATGTTGCTACAGAAGATTTACTTTATTTGTTACACGAGGAAGGTTTAGAAACTGGAGTCAATCTCAATGAAATAGCAAAAATAGGAGAATTTATTAGTACTCAGCTTCAAAGAAAAAATCAATCTAAAACAGGTATTGCAATTCTTGCAAAAAGATATTTAAAAAAGGATTTATAATTATATTTTTATAAACATATTAAAAAACACAAATGATATAATAAGAAAATATAAATTTATGAAACAGCTTAGATCATAATGTAAAGATTCTATTTTACTTATTAAATTTTAATTATTTTTTAAAAAATGCATATACAATCCATAAGAATATTATGTTATAATTAAACTCATTATGATGTGCTATTTTTGTAAATAGTTATACGTTTTCTACGATATTAAGAATATACATATAAAGCCGACTTTATTAAAAAAAATATATTATAATACAACATGACAACAGAATGACAAACAAGATATAATTCGCATTGTATGTAGAATCTGTGTTACGAAATATTTGATAATTCTTGTAATATAGCCTGTGTGTCTAATGTACTCAAATCTATTGATCCCCGAGTATCAATTACAACTCCAGTTACCTAAAAAATAATATAAATATTAAAAAAAGAAATCATAAAAAATAATATATCATTTAGAATCATAATTTTATACATTTTATCATTACCATATCTTCAAAAAAAAGCAACATGATTAGATTTTTCAGAATATCTTTCATATTGATCTAAATTATCTTGCAATTTTAAAGTTAGGCTATCATAATTTTGTATTATGATAGCTAAAATTTGTTGCTCTGTTGGAGTAGACAAACTTTCACTTGCAAGCCATGCTGCTATTTTTGGTGGAAAATGATTTACTATATCTCTCATATTTACTAAACAATTAGTCAATTTTAATGCATGTTCTTTATATTCGTAAGATTCACTTGTTGAATATCGGAGTGCTTAAAAATATTAATATTAATTAATGTAAAATGATGTACTTTTATTATTAAGTGCTATAAAATTTAAATAAAAAAAATATATAAATATACATATATATAATAAAATTATTACCCATAGCATTCAAATTTGTGAAAATCAGCCTCATTCGTATTATTTCATAAAATAATTCATCATAACTACTAGGAGAAGATAGAAATGTATCTCCATATGTAATAAATAGATTTAAAATATTCACAACCTAAAAAAATTAGATTCATTCTTTGAATTTGCAATTTATAATAAAATTAAATAAAATATTAATTTACCTGAATAGCTAATGGAAAAATATTCATTTTTTTAATAAGATGACTTTCGTGTGTCGTTAAAAATTTGAGTAAATTAATCAAAGCAGTCCAAAGATCTCTCCATTGATATCCAAGTCTAATTCTACATCTTTTTTGGTAACAAAGCAACCTCTGTAAAACTCCGATACATTGATGATAAAGTTCCAATGGAAATTTTTTCATCATATGTGATGTAACAAATTCAACGAGTAAATCTGTAATAATTTAATAATTATCTAAACAACTCAAATTTAACGGAACATATAACGATTATACCAAGTAAAGTAGCTGCTAATGGTTGAGCTGGTGCCGTTTTATCTTGTATCTTTCTATGATGCATCGGTACTCGATGAAGTTGTACCCTAAATGCTAAGTTTGCATCATGCATCAAACTATTTGCATATTGATCCTCTGCAATACAACTTAATATGAGAAAGCACAACTTAACATTATTCATTATTGCCTCTGTTCTGATTACTTGCATAACTATTGAACTGAAATAATTAAAATTCTTTAAAATAAAAGATATGTTACTAAAAAAAACATGTATTTTTATAACATAGAATATTTCTCACCAATATTGTAAAAATGTAGCCAATAAATTAAATGGCTGAGCCATTATATCAGGTAATTGTGCTCCAGGAGCTACAGCATTTGGTCCTAATGTATTATTTGGAGAAGGTGGAGCACTCGTATCACTTTGTGTATATGCCAAAGTAGTTACAAAATTACGATTTAAATGCGTTGCTTCATAAAGTGCTAATAACAATGCATTATTTGCGCGAACTTGTTGTGTTTTTGCTTCTTCTTCTCCAACAAACATGCTTCCAACTATACTAGTTAAGGAAGATAACCAAGATGCTTGTATTTCTGTACATAAAATTATATAACAATTTTTATTATTATATTTATAATAATTTAAACAACTTAAGAATATGAATATAAAAATTATATACCTGCTCTTTGTTGAGCAAATTGCCTACAAAATTCCATCAATGAACTTGATATAACTTGCCCATATCCATTAAGAGCTAATTCATCATCTAAAATTGATAACTTAACAATATAAGGATTTGCTCTTTCATGCTTTCTATAATTGACTAGAAGTGTTAAAAGCAACACTGCATCATGTCCATGACGATTTCTAGCTGTTGTATCCCTTAGCAACTATATAAAAAAAATATATGAATATTTAATTAGAATAATACTTTCAACAATTATGATACTTGTATTAAAATAACACCTACTTGAACCAGAGATTCAAAAACACTATTAAGCATAACATATTCCAATAAAGTGTTCTGACTAACATTGTCCATGCCAGTAACAATAATTAACAATAATTTCAAGCACAAAGCTTTTAAACTATCAGGATATTCACCTAGAATCATGAGAAATTTTAATAATTGGTTTTTTTGAAAGATTAAATATCAAATGTATATTTGAATCTTTGATTTCTAATAAGCTAATATTAAATGATTAAATATTAAGAAATATATTATATATTAATTATACCTGTTAAAAAATTATTACAATGTTGCATTAATGTTGTCATTCTCTGTTCTGCAGAATCAAATCCTACTAAGATGTCTATTAAATTAAATCCGCAATCACCTTGACTAGCTTTTTTATACATAGATTGAATGACAGCTGCTAAAGTTTGTAAAGCATATACAACTCTGAAAGGATGTTCATCAACTAATGTGTCTACACAATGGCAAACTAAAGCATTTAAGTTTTCTCTACTTGCATTTAATTGTTCTGTAGTCATATGTAAAATTTCACTTTCAATATGTGGAACCTAAAAATATAAAAAAATTGTAAAATTTAATGTAAAACAAATATAAAATATAAAATATAAATATAAAAAATGTAAAATATAATTGTAAAACAAATACTAAATGTGAATTTAATCACAAGGTATATAATATAACAATTCAATTGTTTTCTCTTTGACAGGAAAAAATCATAAAAAAAATTTGTTATCAATAAGAAGTACTAAATTTTTTCATTTTATTTGGTTAATTAAAAAATTCTTTTAAATTAAAAAAATGATGTTGCAATTTTATGATTCTAATATTTAAAAATTTGTATTTGTTTATATAAATGTACTTTAGTACATCAATAATGATTGGTAAATTTGTTACAAAGTTAATACAAGTAAGTGTACATGTTATAATATATATTTATATATATTTATAATTTTGTATATTTATACTTTAACAAAGTTATTTCTATTATTATTTATATATAATATAATTTTATAGACAATACCAACATGGGAAGTGACAAAATATTATGGAAGAGTGTGCATATATCAATTAAAATGTCTAAAATATAAAATTCAAACAAGCGAAGCATGGTTTAATTTTAAGTGCAAATTTATGCCTGGTAGTTTGAATAATGAATTAGAATGTGAAGAACCTATTAAAACTAAAGGTATATATTAGAAACAAACATTTGTTTTATATAAAATGATTATAACTTATATATAATAACCATAAATAAATTTTTAGTTAAAAATGGATCACAACAACAAAAAGGACAAAATGAATCATCTGAAACAAAATCACAAAATAAATATCAATGCAAGAATCATGAAAGTGCAACTTCACTTAATGATTTAAAGAATACTTATGTTATTAATGAATTAATGCCACATACAAAGAAACAAGAAAAAGATGATAAAAAGATAATAAAAGATAATAAAAAATATCAAGAAAATGAAAAATATATACATGAAGAATATGCAACAAAGAAAGAAAGAAAAGTATAATATAATTTTAATCTTTATTGCTAATGACATTTCTTTTCAATGAAAAATTTTTATTATAGATGAAACGTGTTCAATAATATATGTAACAAATTAGAAGAATTTTTAATTTGGAATCTTTATTATATTGTCTGGAAGTTTTAGAAATTTTTAATTTATTTGTATTTTATATGATATTAAATAAAGTCTAATGTATTTTTTAATAGAAGTAAATAAACAAAATACTGACCATAGGTTTAATTAAGAATAATTCATTCCAAAAATTTGGATGAGCTAATGTTAAATCTTCTCCTTTAAAAAAGCTTTCATAAATTGGTACAAGCTTTCCTTTATGTTGACGTTTGGAGCCTGAACCACTCCGTTTTCTCATAGTCATTGCCATAATTAATTATTCAATTTTTATCATTTCTTTTATCTAAAAATATATTGATTTAAATAACAATTATTATATTATAATTAAATATTATAGTTAAAATTTTTATAATATTATAATTTTAAATTATTTATATAAATAATGTTTACATAAATATATTACATATTATTTTTATTTTAAATTCATATAATTATTATTGTTTTTCGATATAACCTCTATAAATTTTCAATAATTTCAAATGAATAAATAATATTTTCATATATATAACATTTTTATGACAAAAACATTTTTGTAATCTCATGTTTATGAATTATAAAGATATGTAATAAATTTTAAACGATGGACACATTAGATATTTACTTACTAATAAAGCAGATAACTTGGGATGTCACATAGGTAAGTGATTTTTATATTTAAAAATCGAATTTGAAAGTTTTTTTTGAATACTATTATTCTTGATTATCTAATTTTATAATGATTTCATTGAAAAGTTTCTAAGTGCTGAAAAAGAAATAATGATACAAAGAATTACGAAAATATCCGTACATAAGAATGACAGGAAGCCATCATTCTCAATAGTGATAAGCAGTGTTACCAAAAGATTTCTTTACAATAGAAAAAAGATGACATCACATAGAACTTAGAACTATATATATATATGAATGCGAATTGAACACGAATTACGAGAATTACTATTATATATTAAATTACTAATCCATATTATCATATTGCGACATCACGATTATCAATTCAGAATAGCATTATAGATGAGCAAATAGAGACAAACAGAATAAATAACGGGAAAATTAAATATAAAATAAAAATTCAAAAATCAGCGCTAAAAACAAAATCTTTTCAAGGATTTGAAAGATGGCACTGATTGTTAATTTTTGTTCTATCTTATCTTTAAAACGATGTGTTTGATTTAAGAGATGGCATTGATAGTCAATCCTTATCCTATCTTTATCTTTCTATATATTATTAGCTATTCTTGTATCTTATTCTAGAGATGGTTTTCATTTCCGAATTTTTATTTTTTTCTCATTATTTGTTTTTCTTGCTTTTAGTTTATGACAGATATTAATTGGACTTTCATTATTTTTCTTTCAAAACTATATAATAAAACTATAATATAATAATGTATCTTAATTTTTAATGTAAAAAAGATATACATTCTCTTTAGGAAATAACTCTAAGATAATAATTTCGCAAAATATAATATATCCTAATTACGAGTATATATTATTTATATTATTAATATATATATTATATATATTATTACAATATATATTAAATATATATATGAAATAATAAAACAATACCTGTTTTCACAATTATATAAATTTAATTATATATATATAAAATATAATAATTTTACAAAATATACATAATATACATTTAATTTTAAAATATTTTGTAATAGAGTATTTATTCTATTCTATTATCTCTTATCTTGTTTTATTTTTAATTTTATATTCATATTTAGTTTTAATTTCAATTAACCATTATTAATGTTACACTCTGAATTGATAACATTGAGCATAGTACTTAAAGAGGCGATATCTACTTTCTAAAAACATTTTAAAAAAAGACTAAAGCGAAAATATGCTCACATAAATCATTGATATATGATTTCTTATTCGGTGTAAATATAATTATTATTAAAAAATATATTTTATTTAATTTATGAGAAAAAAATTTTCTCATTATTCGTATTCTATTGTTTTGATTATCAAATACAAAAATTTTATAGTATGATTTTATATTCGAAAATTATAAATCAACGAAAAAATAGGTTTCTATTAGTTTAAATTTCGTTATTATATTATTACAATGTAAATATAAAGTTTATTTCTAATAAGATGTTAATTATTTTAGCTATTTTAGATATTTGTCAAATGTTCAATATCGTAGCAAAACATTTAAACAGTATCATAGACAACAATATATAAAACAAAACACATTCAAAAATAATTCTTATGCAAAATATACAGCATATATTACTGTTGCTACATCCATATTAGGATTATATTATTATATATCTTATAAAAATATTTATGCTTTGAATAAAAAATTTATTGCATGTGGAGAGTTCAGAGTAGATTTAAAAACATACAATTTAGAAGAAGTAGGCAAACATGATAATAAAGAAAATCGCATATGGGTAACATTTAAACAAGGAGTATATGACATAACAGATTTTATTGAAAAACATCCAGGTGGTTCTTCAAAAATATTAATGGCAGCTGGAAGTTCAATTGAACCATTTTGGGCAATTTTTGCAAATCATAACACACAAGAAATATATGAACTTCTTGAATCAATGAGAATTGGAAATATTTCTAAAGAAGATGCAATATTCAATACAATTAATGACAATGATCCATATTCAAAAGAACCTATAAGGCATAAAGTTTTGAAGATAAATGGTGAAAAACCTTTTTGTGCTGAACCACCACCATCATTATTGATTGAAAGTTTTATTACACCAATGTAAATTTAAAAATTTTTTTTAAAACTTTTATTTTTTAAATTTAGATATTGATTAATTTTAGGGAATTGTTCTATGTAAGAAATCATCTTCCTGTTCCTGAAATAGATTTGAAAACTTATACTTTAGAACTAGTTATAGAAGAAGTAACAAATAAGATTCTGAAATTTGAAGACATAAAAAAATATCCTAAATATACAATAACAAGTGCTATAATGTGTGCAGGAAATAGAAGATCAGAAATGTCAAAAGTAAACATATTTTTTTCTATTTTATAACATATTATTCCATAAAAATATAAAACTATTCTTTTTTATTATTATCTCATTTATTATTTTTTATAGGAAAAGCAATTAAAAGGACTTAATTGGGGTATAGGTGCTGTTGGTAATGCTACATGGACTGGTACAAGGTTGTGTGATATATTAAAAGATTTAAAAATTAAAGAAGATGATTACAATCACATACAGGTATTAATGCAGAAATAATAAATAGCAAAAAATAATTTTTTTTAAATGTTATATATAAAAATAGATATATAATAATTTCATGGAACAAGTTTGAAGGATATGACTTAGATCCTTCTGGTACACCATATGGTGCAAGTATACCTATTAGCAAAGCTATGGATTCCAGAGCAGATATAATTTTAGCTTATGAAATGAATGAACAACCTATACCAAGAGATCATGGATTTCCCATTAGAGTAATTGTCCCAGGTGTTGTAGGTGCTAGGAATGTAAAATGGCTTGGTATTTGATATCAAATACTATAATTAAACTATGCAGTAATTAATTATTTGATTAAATTTTGTTTTAATTTTTATAGCTAAAATAATAGTTTCAAAAAAAGAAAGTCAATCACAATGGCAGCAAAATGATTATAAAGTTTTTTCTCCCAATACAGATTGGGATAATGTAGATTTTTCTAAGGCACCTGCTATACAAGAAATGCCTGTGATTTCTGCAATTTGTAAACCAGAACAATCTGAAATAATTAAAGTAATAAATGGAAAAATAAATGTAAAAGGTAAAATAATTTTTAAGATTTCACTTTTCTATGATAATAAAATCTTTTTTTATAATAAGATTATAATCAATCAAACTATTTTTGTAGGATATGCATGGTCAGGAGGAGGTCGAAAAATTATTCGAGTTGATGTAACAAATGATCAAGGTGAAACTTGGCACACAGCTAATTTAGATGCAGAGGATAATAATGCTAAAATAGGTCGATATTGGAGTTGGACATTGTGGAGTGTAGATCTTCCTGTTAAGAAAGAATTAAAAGAAATGGAGATATGGACAAAAGCTGTAGATGCATCATATAATGTTCAACCAGAAAGTATAAAAAATATTTGGAATTTACGAGGTTTTCTTTGTAATGCATATCACAAAATTAAAGTTAAATTAGAGCATTAATATTCTTTTATATAGTAAAAAATTAATATTACTTAAATAATTTTTTTATAACACTATACTATATATAACACTATATCATTTTATTTTAAATTTCGATATCTTCATTATTAAAATAATTAGGTATATCATTTAAAGATATTTCACAATTTGTTGAATTATTTATATTATGAATTTCAATTAAAGGTGGAAAGTTCATTATGGATTTACCAATTATAATAATATATGGAAATCCAGTTATGCGCGCATGCATAAAACGTTTTCCAATAGTTAAGTTTGTTCTATCATCGAGTATAGTATCAATATTTAATTGATTTAAAATTTCTATTACTTCTTTTATATATTGACTTTTATTTTCTTCTTTGCTTCCTTTCTATAAATTATAATGATTTTTAGTATCTATAAAAAATATTGTATAGTACATATTACCTTTGGTGGTATAAGGCATACAGTATATGGTGCTAAATTTTTTGGCCATCTTAATTCTTCTTTGGTAGATAATAATTCAGTCATAGTTGTAAAAATGCGACTTAAACCAAGTCCAAAACAACCCATTACTAAGGGTACTGATTTATCATTTATTTTTACATTTACTTCTAAAGGTATTGTGTATTTTGTATTTAATAGAAATGTATGACCTACCTTGAATGAAAATTATCATTTATTATATTAAAAATTTTAATTAATAATTATTTCTTGATTTTTATTTATAATAACAACAATAGCAGCTAAAACTATTTGAAACATTGAACTAACTAATTGAAACATTTTTTCTATTACCTCTGCAGTAGTTTTTTCATTAAGTGCATTCTTACATTTAGGACAATGTGATTCCTTGAATATTGTTTTATTAATACTATATTGACAAGATGGACATATACAAATAATATCTTCACCAATATCACTTATATAATGATATTCATGAGATACTGAACCTCCAATTAATCCTGGATCACCAATAGCTGTAAATAATGTCAATGTAAATAAATAATGTCAATAGATAAGAAATATTAAACTAATATTATTCATTTTATTACCTTTTATGTATGTTATTCCTATCTTCCTAAATATATTTTCATAAGCATCGCATACCAAAGCATATGTTTCTTGTGCATTATTTAAATTTATATCAAATGTATATAAGTCTTTCATCATAAATTCTCTACTTCTTAAAAATCCAAGTCTTGGTTTTATTTCATCTCTCCATTTATTCGAAATTTGATATAATTTTAATGGTAACATTTTTGGTGATAATATTCCTATAGTTGATAGCACAGAACAAATTGATTCTTCATGTGTCTACAAAGGTATTTTTTTATTCTTTTTATTAATTAATTTATAAATCTAATTTTTTTAGTTTTTTTTTAATAATAAAAACTTACTGGACTTAATATATATTGTCTATGAGCTCGATCTTGTATTTTAAATAATTCAGTTACATTATTAAATCTATCTGTTTTCTTCCATAAATGTGTAGGTATTAAAGCTGGTAGTAATAATTTTTGAGCTCCAATTTTTTGCATTTCATTATCAACAAGTGCTGTTAATTTATTAAAGATACGTAAACCTAAAGGTAGAATTGCATACATACCAGTTGTAACTTGTTTAATCAAACCATATTTAAGTAAATTCTACAATTAAATATATATATTATATAATTAAATGATAGCAAAAATAAAAGAAATTATATTAGCATACTTCGTAACTTTTTGAACGTATTTCTGTTTGTTTAGCAGTAGCAATCGTGGCGGTAACCGGTTGAAATAATTGCGATAATTTATTTATTTTAGGAATCGGCATACTTGACATGAAATAATTGTATTCGGAATATATACAATTTTAAATCACGTGTAAATATTTTGTATTTTGCATTCACACAAAATAAAGTATTGGTCAATGCTTTTAGGTCCAGTGATACACAGTGAATTACTGGACTAATGTTCATAGTATGGTTAGAAACAGTATAAAGTATGACAGATAGGTTCTTATGGATTTTAGGTTATTTATTTTGATTTGAATTTCTTTTTGCATATGTCATTTAATATTGTAATTGCAAATTTATTTCGGATTGTCAAAGTTTAATAATATTTATAATTTTAATAATTAATCGGAAAATGTAACACTGTGAAATAGGGTCAATTGATCCAAAAGAATGGAATTTGCAATTGCTGAAATGGACGAAAAAAAATTGGAATTGTCTTTTAAAGAAAATATTTTTTCGGACAATTTCGATCAAACTGATTCCAATATAAAATCAAACGTTCAATTTGCAGAAGGTACGAGTTTTGATTAAGAAATCTATTATAAATTATTCTTTGAATTGTTTAATAAATATATTTTAAACAGCTGTTTAACGAATTAGATAGCATGTAGCGACTAGATATATGATAAAATTTCTAATTTTGTTTTTTTACTTAATGTTTTTAGTCATTAATAAACCTTTAATTCAAGAAAAAATAAAGATACATGAAGAAACAATACCATCACAGGAGAAGTTTGAACAAGATAGAATTTCTCAAATTAAAGAAGATTCAATATCAATAAAAGATAGTAATGAAAAAAAATATCAATTAATAGAGGAAAATAATATTGATAGAACTATAAGAAGTACTATTTCTTTAAATAATTTCTCGCATGAATATTTAAAAAATCAAGAATCTATTGATATAATTCTTCCTCAAGAAAAATGTCTCCAAAAATCATCTTCTTGTAATGATATTAGATCATCTTCATCAACATTATTTGATGCATTATTATGCACATCTTCAGATATAATTTCTAATTATAATATAAAAACAATAAGACCAAATAAATGTAAAAAATTAAATATTATATGCAATGATGAAGAAGAAACAATTTTTAGTACTAAATTACATGTGGATTCTGAAACAAAATGTTTAAAAGAAACTGATAATACACATGAAAAATATGAAATTAAAAATAATATTAAAACAATAGATGGGCTAATATGTCATTCTAATGTTGATAAAAAATTAATAGCAAATAATGATCAAACTCAAACATTAACTAACTTAATTAATTGTGAAAAGGATTTTAATAAAGAGCAAAAGCCAAATGAAACTATTAAAAATAGTAAACTACAAAATAATATAATATCTAAACCAACTTTGGTTGATGATAGTAGATTGGTAAAAATTTCACTGCCAACAAATCCAATTAACATAATGCAATCAAATGCTCAGTTTTTAAATAAAAGCCGTAACTTTTTAAACTTCATTACAGAAAAGTCAACAAATATCATGGAAAAAGCATTGTTACCACAGCATTTAACATTAAAATATAATTCAGTAATGAAATCTGTAGATAATATTTATAGCGAAAAGAAATATATAGAAGAATCTTCTAACATGGAACATTCTTTAAGAGAACCAGTATTTAACAATATATCAGATTCATTTGTAAAAGGAAAAAATATTTCTTATGCAGAAAAATGTGAAGTAGATATACAAAGTACAGATAATAAATGTGTAAAAAATGAAAATAATGAAAATAATGAAAATAAAATTATAATAACAAATTCAAATGAAATTATATGTGAAAATATTGAAAAAAATAATAAATATTTATCAACAAATGATCATAATAATGATTTTTCAAAAGATTTGGAGTTAAAAAGGTTAGAACAATCTAAATCTTATGTTATTAGTAATGATATTGATAAAACAAATGATATTGTATTCAGTACAGAAACAGATGGGAATTATAATATTAATTCTATGATATTAAATTCTGGAGAAAATAATTTTCAAGAAAATATTATTATTAATAATTTGAAAGAAAAAGAAATTGTCGATTTTGAGAAGTCAAAACAAAGTTTATTGCAACATCCAGTTTATCTTACTTTATTAAAAGACTATGCAGATTTAAAATCTAAATATTTAAAGTTACAAGAAAAGATAGAAAATTTGGAAGAAAAAAAACGAATTTTGAAAGAAGAAAACAAAGGAGAAATCTTTTCTATGCAAATAGAAACATTAGAAAAAACAATAAATAGACTTACATTTGAATTACATACATCTTTAGAAGCACAGGAAATATATAAAAAAGATTATAATATTGCGAATAAAGAAAGGGAAAGTATGGTAATGAAATATGCTGTTAGTGAAAAACAACTTATTGATACACAAAGGTAAATTAAATTTAAATAAAATAAACTTAATTAGTATATTTTGTAATTATTTTATTATTTTTAGAGCAAAAGAATATGCAGAACGTAAAGTAAAAGAAATGACAACACAACAAGAAACTCTTCAGAATAAATTGAGAGAAATGCAAGGAGAACGAACTAGAATATGTAATATTTTAAGCAATAAACATCGCGAAATGACCGATCTTCAGAAAGAAGTTGAAAGATTAAAGGAAGATGTAAAAATGAGAGATATAAAGTTACAATGGACTCAGAATAAATTAAAAACGGAAATGGATTTGCAAAAAGAAACGCAACAAAAATTAGATAAAGCCATGGTAATAATACTATACATTTCGTTATTATTTTATTTATAATTTTGGTAAATAATTTTATATCAATTTTTATTATTTTTCTAGACCAGGATTAATGAAATGAAGGAAGAATGTGAACAAGTGCGTAAAGAAACGCAAGAAACAATGAGAAAATTTCAACAATCAGAAGAGAACAAAGCAGTTACATTAGATCAACAATTAAAAGAACAACAGGCTCGTTTAATTTTAGAAAGACATGTTACAGAAGATAAAGAGATGTTGAGAATTCAATTACAAAAAGAAGTAGATACATTGAAGCATAGGCAACAAATTTTAATTGAAGAAAATAATACACTCAGTTTAAAGATACAAGATGCTGAAAAAGATCGTTTAACTTACGAAAGTAATTTGAATAATTTAAAAATTATAGTAGATCAACGTCAGAAAGAAATTATGGAATTGCACAATAAAGTATCTGAATTAGAAACATTGAAAACTCAACTTCAACAGTAAGTATCTCAATTGTGAAATCATGGTCTTTGTTTTTTCCTTTATATTAATATTTCTTTTTTTTTTTTTTTCATAGTAAAAATCAGTACTTAGCATCAACTGAGGTGGAAATTCAACATTTACGTTTGGCTAACGAAGAATTACAATCTGATATGTTTGCATGTCGTCAGAAAGAAGCAGAAATGTTGGATTTTACACAAAAATTGACTGATAAAAATGTAAGATTACAATCAGAATTCACAGTTATTGAAGCCAAAGTAAAACAATTAGAACAAGAGCATGGACCATTACGTGAACATATAAATCAATTAAATAATAAAGTAAAAACATTAGAAGAAAGTTGCGCTCAAGAACGAAAAACAAGAATTGAAGAATGTGAAATTTTAACAAGGCACCTTGCTGAACAAACACAAACAGCGCAAAATCTTGCTGAGCAATTAGAAGATAGTCAAGGACAAAATGCAGTATTAAAGAGAAAACAACAATTAAGTATGAAAGAAATGACACGCGAATTACAACAGTGTCGAAAGAAATTAGAAGCATTTGAAACATTACCTAATTCATTGGATACTGTATCCAGAACTGGATCTAATGTTTCATTGAATACAGGTTTTTACATATAGAATTTTTTGTTTTCACTTTTAGTTATATATTTATTTTTGTGCTATTTTATCGATGTATTATTTTATTTTTTAGCGGATGCTTTAAATGGTGCCTTATCTGATAATAATGTAAATGGTGATCAAAATATTCAACTTACAGAACCTAGTAGACAATTGTTAATAGATCGTATTATAAAATTACAAGAAAGTAATGCAAGAAAAGCTGAGAAACTAGATTTTTTTGAAGAACATACTCGAATCTTGGTAGAAGAATTGCAAAAAAAAAAGAGAATCATACAAAATTATATTTTGCATGAAAATATTGGTGCCATGGGTAATAATGAGAGAGATAAATACAAGGTAAATTTTTTAAATTACTAATATTAAATTATATACATACAATTTTATAAAAAGAATTAAAATTTTAGATTTTGAAATTTTAAATATATTTAATGTCATTAATGAAATGTATTTTAATTTTTATAAAAGCATATCAAAAGCAAAAGGAATGCAGTAAGTTTAACAAAGTTTAACAAAAATTTAATTATCGTTATAACATTTGTAATAACTTAAAGATGTAAATGTATATATATATATATTTTATTCATTCAATTTCAATTGTTATAGGCTGAATTAGCAAGACATGGAGGAATAATGGCTTCTGTTTATAATCAACGAGTTTCAGATGACAATATGACACTCGAATTATCATTAGAAATAAATCAAAAACTTCAAGCAGTACTTGAAGATGCATTATTCAAAAACATTACACTAAAGGTAGATAAAAAAAAACATATTAAATAAAAAATAATAAATTTATTATTATTTAATATTATTAAATAATTTAATTATTATTTATAAATAATATTATTACATGTTTGTTTCTTATTAATGAATTTTATATTTATAGGATAATATTGATACTCTTGGTGAAGAAATAGCAAGGTTAACGATGCAAAATCAACAAAGACAAAATACAAAATAAAAATATAGCATAACATATTACCAGCAGTTAACATAACATATTATCTGTACTTGTATTGTAAACATAACAGGATAAGTATGTATTAAAAAAACGTGAAAAAATTATCAATTAAGAAACTTGTAGTACATATATACTAATATATAATTATTATTTCGAGTAAAATTATTCTTTCAAAGATATATTTAAAAAATACATTCTTTTAATTTGAAAATAGATATAATAGCATAGTTATTGTAATATATTGTAATCTATTTGCAATTATTTTTTTGTACTACGATATCTTTAATTTATATATGTATGTATATATATAATATATATATACATACATATATATAATATAATATTATATAATAATATATATATTGTAAAAAAAATCTATAATATT